ATGGCGCTAGCCGAGAGCCATTACACGCTGAAGGCTATAAACGCATTTTGCGCACGTGATACATACAAAATTTTATGCACTAGTGGTTCATTTCCCGAGTCACAAGTAATGATTAGATTTTAACAAACTTTAATTCATATGTTACTCATAAATTCAGTTTTCAAGAGAAGCGCACAATGTTTATGTGTATAATCTACATATCAAAATTACTGTACGAATATCGCAATAATCGTAAGAGTAAAACTCTTTGTTCACTAACAGAGATCATTTCTTGAGATGCAAGAATATGTATACCCAGTATATAGCTACCTAGATTTGACGTTGTCAAACAATCTGATGGTTGCTGTCAGAAATTGTCATCTTTTGGCTGAAAACTTCAAACAGCCAGAACGCAACTACTCAAAGATGGACGTTGTAGCGAAGATGGAATCGGATGAACAATAACATGTATCATAATCATAACAATAGAATCAGCTGATGAGAGTTCAAATATAGGTATTCCACAAATGGATGTGTGGATATAAGAGACTTGAGAACAGCGGGCGGTAAAATGTACTTTATGGCCCGTGGGCGATAATGGGCCCGCGGGCGGTAAAGTACCACTTTACGCCCGCAAATCTGGGCGCTAAAGTGCACTTTACCGCCCGCTAGTGCATAAAAGCTTTTTAATGAAATGAAATAGAGCCAGATCGCCAACTTTTCTATGGTGTTCCAGAGAAGTAAGTGGGTTTGTGGATAGGGCACCAGGTCATCAGGTGATATTGAGAGATATTTCATTCACATTATCACATTCCCCGTTGTTTGAGTATTTCGGTGAAGGTGGTGGGAGGCAACTATACGTTACCTATTTTTGAAAAACTATTTCTTCCACTTTACCCACTACCACAGTTTACCTATAATTATGTATCTTTACTCCATTCATTTTTAATTCGAATGTTCCCATTATAGCGAGCATTATATCCTCCATTTTTCACAATCATCATTTTTTTGTAAATAAATATTCATGTTCAACTTTGACCACCTTTATGGTTTGGCTAATATCGAAAGAGAACACACTATTGACTCACCCTGTATACATTTTGTGATGTCTCAAAAAATAAAATGAATATTATTATTATCATTATTATTATTATGTGAATGAAATATCCTTATGTGTCAAAGTGCATCCTTGTGGGGTAACACAATAAGACATTGAAATTCGCTAGGAATATTCGTTAGACATGGTTAGACTGTATCACACACTACACTGTTTTACCACTAACCAAACCGATTTTTTAACGCCTTGACACGTGTTTCGCTAACTATGTTAGCATTTTCAGGAGAAGATTGAAACTACAGTTTAAAACTACAGTTTTAATCTTCTCCTGAAGATGCTACATAGTTAGCGAAACACGTGTCGAGGCGTTAAAAAATCGGTTTGGTTAGTGGTAAAACAGTGTAGTGTATTATCGTGCCAAAGGTTCCAGTCTTCGATATAGACTGTATCACACTTTGAATATTTGTTTACATGGCTATTTTTCTGTATCCATACATCGATGTTTGGCAGAGGTTAAAACCTGTTGTAAAACTCTGTATCGATTTCCTTCAATTGAGCTAACCCATGCAATATAATGACTGATGATGATGATTCAATATTTCTAGAACGCGAAGACGAGTTTGCATGTTTTTTTTACACGCTTCCCATTACTTTCGTATGCAGAATGCACGACATGTATCGTCACTTTACTCATTATGGCTCAAGGTGAACAATAAATTGAAGTCCATTTCCATTTATTTCTGATTTGTCAAACAACACGAGCCGGTCGGCAGCTTCCTGCAATCACATACGCCCTATTTGGCGAGCTATTTGGCGAATGACAATTTCAGTTTTGGTAAGAACTATATACAGTGTGTCTCGTTTCAAGTGTCACCACTCTATCGTATTTGGGAGTCTCCAGAATGAATCATTCGAATTTTTTCAAGACCTTCCCACTAACCAGGTGGTCAATGAATAGAGTCTGATTTATCAGTTCATGGCCGCCTCTGTGATCAAAATTGAATCACAGAAATAAAATGGAAATTATTTCATTTCGAAAATTGATAACTTTGTAATGGGAGTTTTTTCAAAGTACTATTCATCCTTCCCTATAGGTTTCATTTAAAGAGCTAGCGCAATTTTTTTTGATCGAAATGATTGGAAATCAACTCGAGAACATGAAAAAAGTGTTTCTGATATGTCTTGATATATCAAATTTTCATTAAATCCCGTTTATTAAACTGGCCAATGCAATTACGCCCTCTAGGGGCTGTCCTGGAAACTTTAAAATAATTTCCAGAGATTTCTCTTGGCCACTTTTATGATTCATATTTTTTTCGAAACCTGTGCGGCAAATAGTTTCCGAGATACAGCCGGCGTCCTTTCTTAGTGGTACACCCGGTATATACCTATATCTATACCTACCTAACTGGAATTTGTGACCAAATTAATTGAAAATTGTTGAATGGAAATAACTATTTCAATACATTGAGGGTCAAGTTGTGGTGGAAACCGCATGTCGATAATCTATATAGCATCGTTTCAGGTGTTCAGTTACAAGGTGTTTTTCAAAAATGTGAATCTGAAAGTTCATCGAAATTATAATTCATCATTTTCATGGAAAAAACAAGCTCGGGAAGATACTTTCACTAGGTTTTTTACAGAAGCCAGCATGTCCCAGAAATTTCTAGGAAATGATCGAGCCAATAATACTAACTTCTTCTTTATTTGATGCTTTCAATTTTTTATTGTTGCACGTCACGTTACCATTAAAATAAACCGTGTATTGCTTCTCATACCTTTCTTGAAACTTTGTTGGCAATAACGCATCTGTATACAGGGTGTCAATTTGAAAACTTCCCACCCTTAATATCTCCCTCCAAGTCGATAATATGGAAAAACGAAAAGACAGGTCGATTTTATTTTCGAGGGGGACATGGTTCTAAAATATTTTCAGCCCCGCGGCGTTGCCGCTTCTAACGAAAAGAAGCAACAACTTTGTTATTTCAAATGGAACACCCTGTATTTTATTGCATTTTTAGATTCTCCCTGAAAAGCTGATTTCATCAATGTATCACACTTGGGGTCTAGCAGGAATGATTACAGAGATATAGGGTGTTCAAAATCGAGATTTTACAACTTTAGGATTTTTTTGAGTCGAAACTATTCATTATTGGTCAAAACGGCTTTTATGTCCCTATCTCAACTTTTGATTTACTATCTACTGACATTTATTTGAAACAAATACAGGGTGATCAAAATTCTGAATCTTGAACCACCCTGTATTTGTTTCAAATAAATGTCAGTAGATAGTAAATCAAAAGTTGAGATAGGGACATAAAAGCCGTTTTGACCAATAATGAATAGTTTCGACTCAAAAAAATCCTAAAGTTGTAAAATCTCGATTTTGAACACCCTATATCTCTGTAATCATTCCTGCTAGACCCCAAGTGTGATACATTGATGAAATCAGCTTTTCAGTGAGAATCTAAAAATGCAATAAAATACAGGGTGTTCTATTTGAAATAACAAAGTTGTTGCTTCTTTTCGTTAGAAGCGGCAACGCCGCGGGGCTGAATATATTTTAGAACCATGTCCCCCTCGAAAATAAAATCGACCTGTCTTTTCGTTTTTCCATATTATCGACTTGGAGGGAGATATTGAGGGTGGGAAGTTTTCGAATTGACACCCTGTATATCGCATCGGTAGCTGGAAGTTTTTTATCATCTGTATGATCCATTTTTGCAATTTGACGGAAACGAAAATGACAGTAACGCTGTATCTGTCACTCAGATAATTAAAACCCAATCTGTGGTTTGATTAGCATGACCACAATAATTGTTTCCGACATCAAATCAATCCAAGTCTATAGAGGATTTTCATAACAATACATTTTTTTTCCTAATATTTCTTTATTTTCACAATGAATAGTGCAATTTGATGGATGATTCTGAACAAACATACTTAATACTGCAATAAACAAAGCTAATATTCCATCATCAGACACCGAGTCAGCCACTTATATTTTGCGATGATATCATATTATCATTGTTTTTTCCACAGTGATGTGGGGAAAAATTCCCGCACTAGTGTGAAAAAAATTTCCCGCACTGTTGCGGAAAAATGACATTTCCCAAACTATATTGCGTGCGGGTATAGGGAATATTTTCAGAGTATTCAGATTGTCAAGATAAGTTTCTCAAAGTACGGAAAAATGCTTTGATGAGTTTTGTAATATCGAAAAATCTAGACATAAATCTTTGTCGATATTCAACCAGATATTTCTAATCACAAAATCTTGAAGAGTTTACAATACAAAGTTTATCTCTTAGCAAGGGGATAGGCCCTATACAATCTGATATTTCACCCATCATTAATTGAATATAAGAATGTTGAAAAACACAAGATAAATTGCTACGGAAGATGAAAAAAAGACAAGAGTTGTTGATTTAAAGAAATGCCGGCCACTCAGAAATAGAATTTATTTCCGCATAAAATGAGCGGATGAAGTTCAAAATGGTGGAAAGAATGTTAAAAATAGCAAAAATACATAAATAATATAGAAAAGAAAAGAAAGAAACAATAAAGGAAAGAGGAAAAAATACGGGAATTCTTCTCATTTCTGATAAGCCTTGGTGAATCCTATTAACATGGATAATCTCAATTCTTCAAAGGAAGAAAAAAGCAAATGATATTTTTCTCAAGGCAACATTTTTTTCTAAAAATTATCTCTTCTAAGACATACATAAGTGAACGAACGAACTTCAATCGAGTTCTCAATATGAAAAAACATGCAAAATGGCTCAAAATCATCCGAAAACCTCGATTTTTCCCAGATCATTTTTTATTCCTTATAATAGAGCTCTGAGACATCAAGTCTCGATCATCCTATTTCGTAGCATCACTCTGTATCGACAAGTGGTTTGTCGATCTGGGAAGCAGAGGGGAAACATGAAATTGTATTTTGAAAATCAAAATCACTCACCCGGTAGAGATTCTACTAAACAGGCACATCCTATCAGAAGGGGTACCAGCAACTTCACTCTCATTTTCGAAACTTTTGCCGAAAAAGCTACAAAACAGAAATGACCTTGCCTGGTCTGTGTACGATTTTTTCTCTATAGTCTACTGCGCCGCTGCCTGTTCGATTCTGTCTAGTGTGCCAGCCAGTTTCCTGCTAAATACGAACTATTCGATTCCTGCTGCTCCTGCTATAATCGCGACCGATGGCGTTTTCCGTTTGCTGTAATCAGAGCGCACTTATTAATTAATATTTTTCATAGTAACTGAGTATACCTCAAAATAAATTTATAATTTTATGTTATGGGTAGGTATGGGTAGGTATAAGTTATTTTTTATTGTTTGTAACTTTTTGATAATTCAATAGTCTCTGACATTAACATCGGACACATGATTATCATCAGACATTCGGTCGCAATATATACAGGGTGTCCCAAAGTTAAATAGAAAGATTCCTACTTTTTCTCCAAGCGGTATAGAAATAAGTGGCTTTTCATAAGTAATATCACATAATTATTCTGTCTTTCATTGTTAACTTAATCCCATTAGCGCCGGAATTATTTCTTCTCTTTTCCTGATATTTCATTAACTAGTGTGAAATTCTTTCAAAAGACGAGAAAAGTTTAAAGAATCATAAATGGAATTCAGGTTTTCCAAAAATATGCTGTTGCCATATGGCAACACTAACTTAACTTAATTACTTTTAAAAACAACGCATACCACCTGGTTTCTGGCTGAATAACTCCATCGTTTCCTGCTCAGTCATCTAATTATTTGACCCATCACACATTGGAATGAAAGTATTAGCAGAATTCCGAAGAGGAGATTGTCCGGCCAATGGTTCAACATTCATTGGCTCGCATGGAGAGTCACCACATTTGCTGAGTATAAGCGCCTAGCGTTGCCAGATGGTAACACGAATATTTGATGCAAATTTTCTACACAAAAAACATTCCTGCAATGGTTTCCAATATGTCACATATATAACTTGAAGCATCTGCAACATAATTATAGAAACAAAAATCGCAAAATCGAATGCGTGGAAAAAGGATGATACGTACACGAACGTGACGTCTATGTATCACGTCAGTTCGAATAAACTCAAAGGTTCACAAATTAACGTGGCCTAACCAGTTTATTCACAACGAAGAACTGGTGACATGTGCATAACCTCTGTTCTTTTTGAATTATGTGGGCTGTCTTTCATCCTGATAGCTAAAAATTTGAGTGTCTGGGAATTATCTGAATCTATCTGACTAGCGTTGCCATATGGTAACGCACGGTGCAAATGGGTTAATTGTCCCGATGGACTCGTGTGGTCGTGTTGCTCGGCAACAAAATTTTTTTTATCGCTTGGAGCGCACGAAAGGGAATCCCTATAATGTTCAAAGAACATCGTGCGTTCCTAGGGAGGATAGGGATAGGAGGTAGGTATTGGAATTTTTTTTGAACTTCTGGAGATTATATGTTGTTGGGAATACTTCCTCAGGCAATGAATTCCAGAGCCTAGCCGTTCTATGGATGAAGGAGATTTGATAAAGTGCTGTCGTTCGACATCTTTCGAGGCTGACAACGGAAGGATGTGCTGATTGGGCTTGTCTAGTTCGTCTGACTGGTATTGCTAGTAAAGGGATGATAGCAGAGATTTCCGAAGAACATTTCCCGTGGAAGTATCGATAGAAAAGTGAAAGGTCGCCGACCTTTCTACGGTGTTCCAATGATGTCAAAGAGTGAGTGAATGTGGCGTCATCCCCAGGCGGATGGCTTTTCTATGGATGGAATCTGAGAGCATCAGCGTATGTTTTGGTGCTGAACCCCATATGTGGGAACAGTATTCTAGAACAGGCCGTATCTGCGCTTTGTAGATCATGACGAGCTGTTGAGGTGTAAAGTAGCTTTTCGCACGGAACAAGAATCCGACTTTTTGTGAAGCAGCTCTTGCGATGGATCTGACATGATTATCCCATGAAAGAGTGTTGCTGATGGGAAATACCGAGCATAGATATGGTGGGCTTGGTGGAGATGGTGGTGCCAGACATTACAATGGCGGGCATACATAAACATTGATGCGACCGAATTATTTCGAATATTTAGAATAGAGTGGTATTTTTCCAGACTATTCCAGCGTTGCCACAGCTCGCTCTATTGAGCGAGATCTTGCTCGTTTTGTCGATTGTTTGCTCTCTCGCTTGTTTTTACCCTGGCTAGTATAGGCCACGGCCACACAAATTAGGTGTAATATGAATGTAAATTTGTTCGAAGTTAAGCTATATATCCGAAAAGATGGCCTGAATCAAGCAATAAATTCAATATTTTAGTATTTCACCAGATATCCCTGGAAACAAAGGTCCCCCCAAAAATCAGGAATCAGCTATTTCTTTGGGTTAATTTGCCACTCATATCTTTGGTCGAAATTAAGATACTTGAGAGTCGGTTACATAAACCTGCTTCCTGTTAATTCAACAAGGAACAAACTCTTCTATCAGCTAAGGCAGAAAATTGAATATTATAATTCGTGTCAAATGCTTCATGCAATCGATGTTCAATGACCAGTTGAGCTATGCTCCTATGAGTGATACCACTTTAAAAAATATAGGGAAAATCGTAAAAAAAATTAAAAATGACATTTTGATATCTATTTTGGTATATAGGCAACAGAGTAATGTGTTCAGGTTATCCATTCATATATTATTACATCACAACGAAATCTCGCTCTTTGAGTTAAAATCTCGCTCGGTAAAATCACTCTCTTGTTGGATGGACATTTCGAATACCTATCCAACAAAAAAAAGTTTTTTGAAATCGGTCAGATAATAACAATTTTACAGGGGTGGACACACTGTATACGTATTATTTTCTTTTTTCGTAAGATCAAATTTCACTTCATAAAACAATAAATATAAAAAAAGAACTTGGCTCCTCCACCATTCCTAAGACTTTTGAAAATCCACATTCACACTCATACGATTCCCTGTGCCAGTACCACGTTGCCGACATCATCAATATGTCTAGATTTCCGGATATTGTTCTTTGCATGAATGCTCAATAACTTTTGGGGTATAATAGGTTCTTCAATCCTGCTTTGTCAAGTATCATGAATAATTCCCATTAATCTCCAATTGGCTGAATGAAGTTGATTACTAATAAAGATACATTATGATATTTTGCGATGGAATCTATATAATTTTTCACTATCGTTATATTACAAAATGTTATTCTAATTCATATAACTTGTCAGTAAATTGTTCGCTAATGAATTCGTTCCTTAATAAAACGGATCTATTTTCTAGGAAAGTCAACAGCGCCTAATACTTCGAGTCCGTCCTCACCACTCAAAATACCAATAAACTCAATATAAGGTGTTTATATTGAGTTTTACCCTGTATGTTTCGTACCGTTTTTTGAATTTTTTCCGATCAAGAAATGCTTTCTTCTGATTGTCGTGCTTTCTGTTCGAAACTGTATTTTTTAAGAATCTACCCCTCTTTTCGATTTTGGCAAAATATTCATCTATGGTCAGGTCATAACTTTTGAACCACTGTGTTTATAATCGATTCATACTTGGTGGGTATATTCAACTCATATCACTCATCAAAACTAAATAGGAATCGAATTCAGAATCCAGATCCGTCTTCAGGTGAAACAGAAAACTTCTTCTTTCTCAACTGCTAGATCTCAAAACTAAGAGATCTAGGATGAACAGAGTTGCCCCAATCTTTCTCAATAATATTAGAATTTTGTAGATATGTTCTGATATCTACAAGGAGCAGGAAAAATCAATGAATTGGTCCATTTTTTAACAGTGCGCATCCAATTTGAAGAATAGAATTTTTATTGAACTCGTAATTCAAAATCCAATTCTATTGAAAAAACTAACCAGTCCTCAAATTTCGACTTAATTAGAGCTGAATTAGGTGAACTATCGATGGATTTTTTTCCGTAGAATAATTTGTCAATTATTTTAGTTATTTCCGTGTTTGTCCCTACTCTTTCCAGTAATCAAAACATATATCTAGAAATTTTGGGAAATATTATATTTTCAGCCTGTGTTCAATCATTAGACTTTCGAAAATAATACTGTCAGAGAGTATATCCGTGTTCAATACTCCATCTCATATTTTGTATATTATATATCTTTTCCCCCCGTATAATTTTATCATCATTAGTCAATGATTTCCCCCCGTATAATTCCATTATCATCATTCGTCATAGATAAATCATTCGTTTGGAAATTAATCGGTTAGCAGCATGATTCAACTTATTAGTCATTCATTTGGGACCAGGTGGTAAGTCCAGGCAGTCTTATATTAGTTATCATCACGTACGGTCGGATTTTGTGATCGACATTGAAAAATACTCGAAAGGAATCATTTATTGTTCCACACGGAGTGTTCTCAAAAAATGAATAATAGTAATGTGTTTCTGTATTCCGAATTTCAAACAATTGAATTGCAGACATCATCTTTCACTCTTTTCATGCTGGTGAGTCTTTCTCCGATATTTTTATCATGAGTAAAAGTATAATCTGATAGGTATTTTGTCACTATTTTGACCCGATACCACTCGATACATTTAGAAATCTCAGAGTAGATACTCCTTTGATTTATTTCCACTACGTGTGACAAATATTTTTGAAACAAAAATGGTTTGCTTGTATGTCACTGTGGTAAATTATTTCTTGGTAATGGAAAGGGTTCGAACTCTTCACTACATATTGTATGTTGAGTTCTTCCATATAATCACGAGATTTTTGTAAAATATATATTTTCAGCTCAAGTAAAATTCTTCCATATCGTTCCTGATTTTCGAAAAAAAATAGCACCTCTATACAAAATATCTACCGCCCCCCCCCTCTCCCCGTTCAATTTTATTATCATCATTATTCATAGATAAACCATTTTTTGTTCGAAAATTAATCGGTAAGTCGCATGATTCAACTTATTAGTCATTCATTTCGGGACCAGGTGGTAAATCAAGACAGTCTTATATTAGATGTCATCACGTACGGTCCGATTTTGTGATCGACATCGAAAAATACGCGAAAGGAATTAATTATCGTTCCGAACTGAGTGTTCCCTAAAAACTGAGTGATCGAATTGATTCGTATAATATAGTGTTTTTGTATACCTCATTCGATTCAATAATAATAATATCAAGATCGTGTCTTGTTGTCTAGTGTTTCGTGTTGTTTCATCAAAGCCTCACTTTTTTCACGCTGGTGAGT